GATACATTCCAATTTTATTTTATTTTTGAAGCAAAAAAAAAAGAAGTTACATTTTAATTTATCATCTTATGAATATGGGATTATACTTGCTTTAAGCTGTTCTTTGAAATGTATCTCGCATGATTGAGGAGGAGTTGCATCCGGATCATTCAAACCTTGAGGAACCACATGTAAACCACAACGTTCGAGGTTGACGAAGGAACAATGATACAAGACATGATCCTTGTTATTTCGAACATGTCAACCGTTGAAACACTCAACGAGATACCCAACAATCGGGTACAACCTCAGGTAAGTCAGTATATTTGCACTTGTGAAGTGCATGGCTATTGTGAATTACACGTATTTCATCTTGTAGCGTACTAATAACTGAACATTAATTTTGTGCAGAAGATCAATGTGACATCAGCCAATGTAGGTATGTGCACTTGCTTCCAAGACCGATGTTGCCTTACATCACGGCATGGAAGGATGTCATTGGTGATGGTAACTGTGGCTTTCGTTGTGTGGCTGACTTCTTCTATGATGATCAAGCGCAATGGTTTGACGCTCGGGAAACAATAGCAAACGAGGTCGCCGCTCAACCAATGTTGTACGAAAGGATTTACGGGATTGGAAGGGTTTGGATGAATGTAGAACGTATTCGATGGGATGGTGGGGCGATCGATTCACGACATTGGATGGTAGCAATTCAAGATTTATTTCCTATTGCTACTTGGTTCAACACAAGGGTGATTGTTCTCGGTGTAGGCAGCGTACCAACCTGCTACTACCCATACCTCACGATGTTCCCGTCGCGGGCACGAAACACGGTCAGGGCACCCGCTCGAGAGTTCGTGATCAGTACTGTTGGTGGGTCACATTTTATCCTTCTTGATCTTGCACAAGATTCACCTCTTTCCCCGATTGCAGGATGGTGGACCGAGCACCATGAGCCAAGTGTTGATGGATGGGATCAGCAATATGAAGTTAGAAGGAACATGTGGGATGCATTAATTAGGTAGTGAACTCATTTACTTTCACTAAGGTTGAACAGTTGTAGCTATGTAATATAAATTAATAAAAGTAATTAAACTAAGTTCCAACAAAACCAAATAAGAAAGTGTCTAGTTCTTACCTTACTTGCCGAATACAAAGTAATATAAAATAACGAGGACAAGTAATATATAACTGAAAGACAAGTAATTCACAACTCAATCATCGTCTTCCAGTCATCTCGGAGCTGCTCATCCATTGCCCTCGTTCCACGTGACATGTTGGGATACTCATCCAGTGCTCTGTCGATAATCTCCATGGACCGACCCATACACTGCAAATGTTAAAAAAACATATTACAGAAATTACAATTTTTAGAAGTCGTATTAATAGTACAATAAAACACAATACTTACATAATCCGTGTTAGTCCTCTCAGGTAGACTGCTACTCCCAGATGATGACTCCCCATGAGATAGATGAGGGTGAGAAAATCTGTACAACCACTACATTTAACCGGGAGTGACCGTAGGAGCTTGACCACCAAGTCTGGTGAAGGCACCTGAAACAACACTGAAAGACGAACTAGGGACAAACCGAGTCCACATCACAGATGTCATCTCGGTTGGAAAATCTACCCGATACATCTTCAAGTTCGTCGGTCTCTTAGCCTTCTCAGGCCTGATAATGGACCTTGGAATGTCCTCCACGAAACCAAGTTGTCAAACCACTCGATCAGGCATGTACGGCTCAATGATGCCACGGTACTGGATGCAGCCAATAAATAGAGTGGGTGGCACGTGTTGTGCGGGATCAACTCTGTATGGGAGCTAGTTAACCTCAAGGTCAGTCAGCTGATCCAGTCTAGCACGAAAAGCTAATAGGCGCTCCATGCTCTTGTTAGGGCATCCCGATCCATTGTCCCATGAAGACGCACGAGGGCTACTAAGCTCCCTCATCAAGGTACCCTGCTGAGGCCAAAAGCACGAAAAGTACTCGTAAATTCACGCTTGCAGCAGCGTGAGACACCAAGCGATCGAATCAGCATCTTTTCGTGATGCCGTACACAAGTGCCGATACAGATAGGCTAGAGTAGCTAAACCCAAAGAATACTCATCAATCAGAAGATCATCAACAATAAGCTTGTGGAGGAAGAAAGGATGAGTGCGGTTGCCACTCTTGTCTAAAAACAGTGATCTGCCTAGTACTAACCACATGTATGCAGTACAATGGACACTGAAGGGCCTTTGCATCTCCAAAGTCGAACCAAAAATCCTCTCAGTCAGCACCCCACTACCATGCCAAATGGTTTTAGTACCGCACATCTCATTCAACTCTTCCACAGTCATATCCATGGTAACCGAGCACGCGTCTCGTATGACGTCCGTGCTAGGAGTGGTGGAACCATCAACACGAAGCCCAAGAATATGATACACATCGTGCAACATGATCGTGATCTCCCCAAATGGCATATGAAACGTGTTCGTATCTTGCTGCCATCTCTCAAAAAAAGTAGAAATCAACGGTCAGTCGAAACGCTTAAACATAATCCCGGGTAAGTGAGACAGATCACTGCCATCAATCGCTTCCAGGTGCTCCTGTGCAAGACGACCTCGCCAATTATCACACAATTGTGTCCTACTCAAACACCGCAAAACATTTCGCTCCTGCCCGCCCCATATATATGACGCCATGTGACCACCAAAACAAGGGATAACAGAACCATCCTCAGGACCACCTGACATCGGCTGCTGCATCAACCATGACTCTGCTTAGCTGCTAGAAGGTTAACTCGCTTCACTACTAACAAATTTCCCATGTTGTTGCTTATATACCATATGATAATCCTGGGGGTCCGATTCTTCTGCTCGATCATCTAGACTTGCTCGATCTTTGTACTCATCGTCAAATGTAGCCATGTAGGTATTCCACCCAACGAGTACATGGGGCGGCTCCCTTGTGACAGATGCTCTCCCGTCCAACCACTAGGAGACCCATATTCCTGTTCATGACGCAGCAGTGTCCCTGTATTTCCTCGACTAGACTGCCTCCTAACAGACGCATTCAAACGTCGTGATATTGCATGACGAGCACCCGAACCTTCAATCTACATTAAATTAGTACAAAATCAAATATCAATAATAATTTCGAATACAACTATAATATTAAAGTTGAACAACAAATATTAATATTCAAAAACAATTTTTTTTTTTTAAATAAAATAATAATAACAATATTAATAACAATAATAATAATTATTATAAACCACGTGAACCACATATTTCGCAACATACTAATAACTATTACAAAACAACAACAATAATAACAACAACAATAATAATGATCATAATAATACTAATAACAATAACAAAAATAATAATAACAACGAGTACAATGATAATAATAACAACTATGATAATATTAACAACAACAATGATAATAATAATAATAGTACTAAAAATATGAAGGTAGAAATAATAATAACATTACTCGGTTTGGAAAAAAAAAAAAATTCTAGAAAATAGTACACCCGCCCAAAATTTCTGGATGTACCTTGGAGGATCTGCCTGAAATTTCCGGATCCTCCATAGTACATCCGAAAATTTCAGGCGGATGTACCATTTCCAGAATTTTTTTTAAAAAACAACATCAAACACTAACCTCTTCGCCACTGGTGCTGTCGCCTCGACGACCGTATGTCACTTTGATTCGTCGTGGGTCCGCCATCGCCGGATTTCTTATGCCCTCCTTGGATTGGTGGCTGTCGGTGGTGGGTTTTGGGAGTTTTTCAATTTTCTGTTTTTTGTTCTTTTGATTTTCAGATTTTTTTATTTTTTTTTAAAAAAATTCTGATTTTTTAGGGAGATTTTTTTTAGAGAGATGTTAGAGAGATAAAATGAGAGTAAAGTATAAGCGTGAAATGTGTTGTAAGTGTCGTGAGTGAGTATCGTGACTATATACATACAAGGGGTAAATACGAAATTTCATGTAAAAAATGCGAGCGACGCCTGGTTAATTGGAAGCGACGTTGAACAACCCCAAAAATTTTGGTCTGAAGAAATTTTTGATGAGTCATTATTATATTTATAAAGTAGATAGAAGCCCGTGCGATGCACGGTTTTTTCATTTAAATTTTTTAATTATTTGATATTTCAGATAAAATTACAAAAGTTTAATATTTATTTCTTTTTACTATAATTTATAATGAATTTATTTAATATAAATTAATTGTAAATATAATATTTTTTCCGTTATATAAAATCTTTAATGTGAAATGATAAGTTTTTAATAATTTAAATCCTAAATCATTTATTCATTGTTTTACTATATCTTTTATTTCGATAAAATCACCAACCTCGTCCACAACCAAACTACTACATCAATGTATAAATTGAACCGTGAAATGTTAGCCAAACTGAAATCGATATAAATTAAATCTTTACATTTTATATAAAATAAATCAATATATTTACGAATAAATGAAAAATTGTTGCGATATAAAATCAAATCTATGCATTGGATCGGAATTTTTTCATCATCTCCAAAAATAACCAAAGCCATCTATATATTAAGTATACAACATCTAATCGTATGCCATTACATAAACAAATAATCGTTAAGTATCCTAAATAAATACAATGTAACTAATAATTACAAATATAAATTTAAACATAAGATTTTAAAAATTACCCGGACATTGATGACCTAAAACTAACACAAAATTCACTTGATGAGGTTTTGTATTGATACGAAATTTTATTTGTGTCGTATGATGTGTTAGATCTGCATGTAAAAAAACATTTAGTAAATAAAACATAAACATAGGATTTACTAAAACATAAACATATAATCGTTGAGTATTCCAAACTAATACAATGTAAGTTATAATAATTAGAATTACTAATTTAAACATAAGATTTAAAAAATTAAGGGAAAAATTACCCGAACATTGATGACCAAAAATCAACACAAAATTCGCTTGATGGAGTTTTTTATTGATACGAAATTTTGTTCGTATCGTATCAATAAAATACAAATATCTTTTCTGATTGGTCGAAATAAGTATATTTCTTACGTGACGCTCCGAATACTCTCCAAAAATGCTACTTTATTTATATACTTCGTATATTAGATTTTTTTTTTTTTTTTTTTTTTTTGTAAAAAACAACAAAGCACTGCTTCTTCGCCACCTTCATCTCCCTACCTCATCTCCCCCTAAAATTCAGGTTTCCCCAATCATCCCTAAACCATTTCCTTCCCATGGCTTCCAAAATCTCAATAATCCTCACTCTCATCCCAAACCCTAATTTTCGCAACTCGAAGAATGTGAAACTGAAACCCTCAGCCAATCGAATTCTGAATTCTACAACCCCATTTTTTCAAATTTGGGTTAATAATCATGAAATCGAAAGGCGATACGGGTTTCTTGATTCGCTACTTCGTGTTGTTGCCATTAATATTGGCGACATTGTTTCGCGCCATAAATTCCCAAGGAGATAATGGTGGTAGTAATAATTCTACTGATGATAATATTGATAATCCTGCTGCTGTTGATTATGTTACGCAGATTATTTATGATCGATTTGCTAATAGCAGCGAATTTTTGACCCCTGAGATTACGAAAACATTCAGATTTTGCATCAAAGATATGTAAGTTGATTTGCAATTTATTCTGTTGATCATATTCACGTGTTGTGATTTTCTTAGTAATGTAAGTTTAATTTGGTTGTAGGGAGGCTGAATGGAATTCCGCATTCGATTTCTCGAGGAATTTGAGTTTTTTGTCCAATTGCATTATTAAAACCAAAGGTACATTGATTGATTAATTCACTTTCAAAGGATACTAGTGTACGACGTAGTCCAGTAGTTTAGGTTGTTGAATGTGACGAGGTAGTTTAAATATTGTTGTTTGTAGAAGTCAATTACGGTTCTTGAAGTGCGTTAGCTATGAAGTTGAGGTATTAAGTATTGAAGTTTCATATGGTTCTTTGTTGAGTCGTCATTTCAAAGAGTAACTTTGAAAATTCTATTCTTGGTAATGATTTTTATTGGCTACATTGTATCATTACGGAGTAGTATCAGAAATATATGAGATTTTTGTGAGAACCTGGTGCTTAGTTGAAGACTGAGTGTCTCAGCATGATAACTTACTAATATAAGTTCTTGCACCGTACACACCCGGGTGTACATAACAAACTCTGGCATGGAAGGGCCTCGGGTTGTCAAACTTTCTAAGTAATTTAGGCTCGTTTATGTTTTGTAGGCAATTTCTCATCTAGAGAGGTTTTTTACTTTTTTGTATACAGTAATATTTATGTTTGAAATTTTAAAGAATCCTGGCATGATTGGAGCTTCTTCCCTCCATCCCTGGTGGTTATAGTTACCTAGCTTACTGATTTTGGGGGTTAGTGAAAGTGGATCGAAAGTTCATTACTTCACTATTTCAGCATATATTCTCTATGTTGATTATTGAGAACCCTAAGAGTTTGTTGGTGTGTTGGAAAGTTCGTGGTAAAAAGATAATTTGTCTGTATTACTGTCATTGGTGTGGGATTTTAAATTGATAGTTCTCAACATCTCACTATAAATATTTCATTTCATAGGTACCAAACAATAATCGGTGTATATAATCCATTCTGGACAACATATAGTTGTTTATGTCACCCGCTGAAACAACAAGCATATTTTACGTCTGGTTTGGGTGGTCATCTAAATTATCCCAATGAGCCAGCTATTGATTTGTTGAAATTGATGTTTGTTCTTGAAGAGAGGGAAGAGATTTCTAGAAAGTGGTTTTGTGTCATAGAGTCAAACTTATTTATTCTTACTTTCTAGCTTTCTTGAAAATATGCTCAACCTGCAAAATTGTGCGGGCATTTTTCTTTTAAATTTATTTTTAAAGATGGATGATTAATTAAATGAAGGAACCACGGCTGCAGTTTGGTAAATTTTTCTTAATCTTTTTTTTTTTTTTTTTTTTTTTTTTAATTTTTATTATTATTCCTAAAGATTATACACAAACACCATGTTAGCAGGACTCAAGTAGGAGAATCCGATATGGCTATGGGTCCTAGTATTTGATACATAAAACTCGAAAATTCAGGACATGGGAATTCTAACTGAATTTTGGACATGGGAAATATTTATATGTATTTTTTAGTGAATATTTAAAAGGTCATGTTGACATTTCTAGTCCCAATATGATTTGGTGACAGGTAACATGAATCATCATCTGTAATACAGAATATATTTACTTTACTATGATAATAATATTATTATATAATATTCTTTTGGATGAAATTAGTATAATACCAATACACCACCCGTGTTGGCTTTTTTTTTTTTTTTTTTTTTTTTTTTTTTTTTTTTTTTTTGATAGGTAAGAAGAAAATACATTAGGATTCCCTCCTCCCGAGTGCTACACTTAACGAGTCACTAGTAAGAGTTGAGAGGAGTTGCGGGCTATTACAAGGCTCAATATACATTTAAGTAGTCACTAGATATGATATGTTGAGCTTAGCGTAGCTATTCTTCGAGGATGGACATACAAGTTGATAAAAGTTAAATTTGGGCTACACCTAACGAGACACTAGTAAGAGTTGAGAGGAGTTGCGGGCTATTACAAGGCTCAATATACATTTAAGTGCTCACTAGATATGATATGTTGAGCTTAGCATAGCACTTCTTCAAGGATGTACATACAAGTTGATAAAATTTAATTTTTGATGCAACCATAATTGATTCTTGGTATTTTGCAACTGTAAAGATCAGGCTAAAAGAGCCTCTACACAATTGTGGGTATGTTTGTTTAAGTTGGGCCCTTTTTATTTGCCCTTGGCTGCTGCTTCGTTATAGGTATTGGGGTTATGTTATGATGTTCTCTGGAAGATAATTACACATTAGTATCAATAAGGGTTGATAAAAAGTATAATTTTGATAAAGTGTGATCCTTCTATACCATAGCCTATGTCTTTGTTCAGATTTGACCATGTAATAATTTACAAATTACTAATGCTGAAACTGGTTAAATGATAGGGGACTTGGTTCAGCGCTTGTGCACAGCAGCAGAAATAAAGTATTATTTCTCCAGTTTTCGTGACAGTGTTACCATGGGCATTCTTCCCATGAAGTTAAACCGCAACTGTAACTTAACCACATGGCTTTCTGGGTGTCAGCCAGGATGGGCCTGTAGTGTTGTTAATGAGCAGAGAGTCAATTTTAGAAATTCAAAGGATATTCCAGATAGAACAGATAATTGCCAGCCTTGTTGCGAAGGGTTCTTCTGCCCTCATGGCTTAACTTGCATGATACGTGAGTTTCTATACTCTTTATTTATTTTGGAATGTATGCTATACCAGTTTTGCCTTTTGTTTATTGCTTGTGTCAAGTTACAATTTTTATCTTCTTTTTATTTGTCTCAACTATGTTTCTCATTTCTTGGCTGTATTGCTAATACATTAAACTAGGGGTGTTCATAAACTGATCTGGTCTCCGGACAGAAAAAAGGATTTGGATTGGACCGGACTCGACTCCGAAGCGAGAATTTTAACTGTCGGCTCTTCGGTCCGGTCCAAAACCTTTTAAAATTTGACCTTGGAATGACCAGTATTTTGTTTTGAATTATGCATATAAACCTCTAGAATGTCAAATTTTTAGCTTTAATGTAGGAAAGTAGTATATCATAAGCTATTCTATATTTGGCATTCAAAAAAGGCATTAAACAATTAAGTTTTATTTATTTAATTTTCCCTATTTTTTATAAAATAAAAACATAGAAAAAAAATTCTAAAACTGATCTGGTCTGGGTTTTTGACTGGGTCCAGTCTCCAAGTCTTGAAATTTAAATTTCTGATCTTTAGTATGATCTTGTCCAACCGATGAATAGCCCTACATTAAACTTATGATAAGTTTCTACAAATATGTAGTTCTATCTCAGCCAATAGGCTCTCCACATGTCTTCCATCTTTACACCTATATTAACTAGCTGGATCTTCCATTTACCAATAAGCTATAGCTGGATCCGGTGACAAGCTTGCTTAATGTGAGAAGTTTAGGTACATTAAGGTGCTAGAAACATACCTTCAAAATTCACGAATTTGAAGTTAATTTTGTTTTTGACTTTTTTTTTTTCATGGATTATATTTTTTAATTTTGGATTTGTACCTTATAATCTTGTAAAATGTATCGTATATGGTTCTCATGATTCTTATATTAAGTTCCACCAGAACCTACTCTATAGGAGTGTGTGTATTTCATTCAAAGTGTCTAATCTCCATTCACTGATTATTTTAGCGTAAGAATTTAGTGATATTATGTTGTGTGATTTGACTGTTCCCATTCTTTTTCTTCATCTGCTTCCACAAAGGAGGTTCCTCAATTTTTTTTATTTTTATTTTTTTGCTTGCATCCTTACCTGTGATTTTGTACTTGAAGCTTGTCCACTTGGTTCGTATTGTCCAATAGGATCGTTCAACAAAACTACAGGTGTTTGTGACCCGTGAGTTCAGATCAAAGCCTAAATTGTCATCAGAACCTTTTTTGCCTTTATGTAATGGATGCTGACATCTTCATGGAAACCAATTGTAGGTATCATTACCAACTTCCACAGGGGCAACCTAATCACACTTGTGGCGGAGCTGATATCTGGGCTGATATAAGCAGTAGTGGAGAGGTTTTCTGTCCAGCAGGATCATACTGTCCAACTACTGCTGAGAAAGTATCATGCAGTCGTGGGTATTGATTATTACTCTATTTCTTCGAAACTTTTGGGGCAATAGGATTTTCACTTGTGTGCCTAGCTCCTAGGCTTAGCACCTGTAGCATTTCTCACATAGATTGACTTCATCATTTGATATCTGATTTCCTTAGGTTGTGGGATGCTGATCTTTCTGTTTGATCATCTTATGGCAGGCATTACTGCCGAACAGGCTCTACATCTCAATCACGTAAGCTCTGTTCCTTGTTTTACTCGTTGAATGAGAAACTGAATTCATTACTCATATTTTATTTTATTTTATAAGACGTAGTATAATTTTTTAGATTTCTAGTTATTGCTAAGAATTTCAGTGTCTTATTTTTTGTTTTGCTATGAGGTGCTCTGTAGAAATCATTCATTGAAAGTCTTATTCAGAATTTACTATTTTTGCTGTTTGTGGCTTCAGCTGACCAAAGTAGTTCGAGGTTTTTGTTTGTTTATTATGTATACCAAGTATTAATGTACACAGGCATGTTATTTTAATCTTCGTTTGCTATGTTTAGCTGTGTTAACCACCTTCTAATTCCTTAGGCCTTGGAAATTCCCGTACCATACATCATATTCAATTAATGAGAATAGATTATTGGGTGGCTCAAATTGTTTGCAGATTATATTATGTTCCATAAATGACTTAAGTAGCACAAAGATACGCTAATACATCTTTCAAATGTCAATTTAAGAGCAATTGTCCTTGGTCTTATGAACTAAGGTTGATAATTTAGATAGCGGAATCGTCTAAAGAGAAAAAGAGTATTTCTGTATAGGGAAAATGTGATGATTAAATGGGTTGTGGAGGGAGATAAAGCTTGTAAATTCTTCTTTTAGATTGTTTATAAAATTGATGGGCATTATATCAAGGTATCAGCATTGTTGAGAGACATTAGTTGGTTAAGGGATCTGAAAGTCCGAGACTTTATTTGTTGAGGCCTCCTGTGTTAGAAGTTTGTATTGAAAAGTGGGTGGGAGGAGGGTGGGATGGTTCTTATTGGACTTTAGAGTCACATCTTTATGGAAGCAAATATTGCTTTGAGTGGCTTTTTGTATGAGTCTAGTGCGTGATGATATTCTGTCTTGATTTGTTGGATGTGAGATGCAATAATTCCTTTTAGTGGTACTTAGAATTATAGGTGATTTGCTGTGCTTAATGAACAAATTTATCACTCACTGCGATATTCCACTTAAAAGTTGGGTGATGGTCAGTCCATCTAACCTTGTGGTATGGGTGCATGTGCACCATTTTAGTAATTATGAAGTATTTTTAATGAAAAGATTCCCTTTTTGTTACATTGGTTGCGACTCTTGCTAGTAGTCTTGTGAGAGAGCTCTTTCTCCGCATTTAAAAAAATTAAAATAGCCCCCAAATTAGTAATTTTCATTGTCACATCTTGTATTTTGACCAAAAAAAAAAGTTCACTTAGATGAATATCTGGAGTTACCTCTGTTAGTAGTAATAATGTATCTTTTTATTGCTTATTAATGGTAATAAAGTTCCTTTTAATGTATGCAGGATGTTTGCTTATGACTAAATGTGATGCAGGAAGCTCAAACCAAAATATTACTGCTTATGGGGTCTTGCTTTTTGTAAGTTTTACTCAATTTACAGATCTAACCAACACCTGATTGTTACAAAGTTCATGAGCTAGTTGATAGTGTGTTTTAGGAAGAACCTTATTTTCTTCTTTGCTTTGCTAGAATTAACGATGAATTTGAGGGATCCTGAGAAAGAATTGGAATCTCCTTTATAAGGCATGTAGTCATGGGGGAACTAGTTTTCATGCTTATTGTTGATGTGGCAGATAATGATGATATGCTTGGGAGCATTTTATTCTCCCTTGTGATTTTTTCGAATGATTTTATTTTTGACATGCAAAGTTGAACTAAAGTCTTTGCTGGCAATCTGATTTGGCTCTTTCCTTCAGAGCCAAAGGCTGTTGCATAAGATACACTCATTCCTAGTTAATGAGATACACTGAACTTCACTTGTTTCTTTATGTATTAATTTAATGGTAGTTTTGTTGTGTTGATTTCTTCTTTCCAGAGCAGATCTTGTCTTTTACATATTTTATGTACGCTTCAAGATATGAATAGTTATATGCTTTTAACACAACAAAGTTAAGAGATCTATCTTCTAGGAAATCTTTTATCCACCTCCCTGATACATAGTCTGTATGTGCTTACAGGTTGGAATAACCTCTTTACTTCTGCTTATTTATAATTGCTCTGATCAAGTTCTTGCTACTCGAGATAGAAGACTAGCAAAATCTAGGGAAGCTGCTGCAAAAAGTGCACGAGAAACAGCTCAAGCACGAGATCGATGGAAATCTGCTAAAGATGCTGCTAAAAAACATGCAGTTGGACTACAGAGACAATTGTCGCATACATTTTCCAGGAAAAAATCTGCAATGCTGGAAAACCAGCCTAGAGCTCTTCCTCAAACTAATCCTGAAACAGATGCATCTTTGCCTACTACTTTAAACACACCAAATTCATCTCAAGAATTGTCAAAAGCTGGAAAAGGGAAAAAACATGAGTGCAGTGACCTTGCAAATATGATGACTGAATCTGAGGAGGATCGTGATGGCCATAAAGGTTTCAACTTTGAGATTGGAGATAAGAATCTGAAGAATGTGAAGACTAATCAATTTCATACTCATAGCCAGATTTTTAAATATGCATATGGTCAGATTGAGAAGGAAAAGGCTCTGCAGGAGCAGAATGATAACCTCACTTTCTCGGGAATACTTTCAGCTGCCAATTATATTGAAATCATGAAGAGACCCACGCTTGAGGTGGCTTTCAAAGATTTAACCCTTACCTTAAAGGGGAAAAAGAAGCATCTGTTGCGATGTGTAACAGGGAAAATCTCTCCCGGAAAAGTGTCAGCTGTCATGGGACCATCAGGAGCTGGGAAAACAACATTTCTTTCTGCTTTGGCTGGGAAGGCTACTGGCTGCAAAAAGACTGGCATGATTCTTATTAATGGAAAAGCTGATTCGACCCACTCATACAAAAGAATTATTGGATTTGTTCCTCAAGATGATATAGTGCATGGAAATTTAACAGTTGAAGAGAATTTATGGTTCAGTGCAAGATGTAGGTAAGCATCATATATTATCATCTTGAGTTACTTTTATTTAAGATAACAAAATATGTTCTTCATGCCTATGTGATGAGCTATTGCCTATGGGTTATATTCATTGCTTCTTTATAAGCTAAGGCTGTTGATGCTTTCCTAAATTATGCTATAGGACTAATAGGAGAGACATGAATTGGACTAAATTTTATAAAATTTCTTGGATTCTTTTCTTCTTTCCTTTTGTATGTGTGTGTGTGTGTGGGGGGGGGGGGGAGGTGGTGTGTGTGTGTGTGAATACCTTATATGAGCTTTTTATAAAAAAGTAATCTTTGATTAAAATAAATATTCATTTCTTCTTATCTACAGAGTACAGACTAGGAGTCATTATTGGAATTGAGCTGTCAAAGTCTGATTTTTGTTTGTTGACATTGATAAATGATAACATTGATAATTTTTCAAAATCTATTTTATTTTTCGTTTTTCTTCAATGCTAAGTGAATGGTTACAGTAACTCTGGCAATGTAAATAAGTAACATTTATGTCATGCTAGGTAGGAATTCTTGTTTCTAGTTTTTGGATTTGAGTTTTAAAGTGTTTTATGTTAAGAGTATCGAATTTCGGATAATTAATACTCGTCCCTTCGTCATTAAGTAAAAGCCCCATTTCTTCCAGACTCACGTCTCTAATAAAAGCTCCATCTCTCATTTAGGCGGGGTTCATCATCCTCTAGCTTCTTTTTTCATTCACTTATAATCAAGTAAACCTCTGAAACCCCTCCATATTTTCTCTTACTTCCCCTAAAGATAAAAATTATTCCTTCTGTCTTCTTTTTGTAGTTAATTTTAATCAACAGTATACCCCACTACAACTCATATTTTTAATCTATGTGCTCGGGTGAAATAGGGATCTTATTTAGGGATAGGAGGTAGTAAAAAAAAAAAAATACATACTATTCCATTTTTCTTGATTTAAAAAAACTTGACCTTCAATTTTCATGAAAAGTGGAAATTTGAATTCTAGGAATTATACAGAGGATATGCTCATTTTTTGTACAACTGTTGCAATTTTAAAATCTGTGTAGATTTTATAACCCAAAACGGGTGTGTGAATTTTTTTTGTATTAATTTTATGTAGGCTATCGGCAGATCTGTCAAAAGCGGAAAAGGTCTTAGTTTTGGAAAGGGTAATTGAGTCATTGGGGTTGCAGACTGTACGGGATTGCCTTGTTGGCACTGTTGAGAAACGAGGAATCTCAGGAGGGCAGAGGAAAAGGGTTAATGTAGGGCTGGAGATGGTTATGGAGCCTTCACTGTTGATCTTGGATGAACCTACATCTGGATTGGACAGTTCCTCATCGCTGCTGCTGCTTAGAGCGCTCCGTCGTGAAGCACTCGAAGGTGTAAATATTTGTATGGTGGTTCACCAACCAAGGTAATTAAAAGATTTGTGCTACTTATCACATTTACAAAGACTGTATTATAAGTTGATATTTGCTGGTTTTTTATATTTTGATTTTATGTTACCATATTGGGTAAATAGCATTGCAAATTCTGTTTTTCTACATGATTTATAGCATCACATTTTTTGGCAGCTACGCATTGTTCAAGATGTTTGACGTGTTGATACTTCTGGCAAAAGGTGGTCTTGTTGCTTATCTTGGACCAGCAAAGAAGGTAGAAGAGTATTTTTCCAGCCTTGGAATCACTGTCCCTGAACGTGTCAATCCTCCAGACCATTATATTGACATCTTAGAAGGAGTTGTGAAGCCAAACTCAGATGTAAATTATAGAGAACTTCCTATTAGGTGGATGCTTCATAATGGATATCCAGTTCCCCTTGATTTGCTGAGTGAGGTTGGTCTTCCTGAATCTTCACAAGGGGAAAGTTCTGGTGACAATGAAAAGCCTGCTGCTGGAAAGTCTTTTGCTAGAGACCTTTGGCAAGACATGAAGTGTAATGTTCAGTTAAAAAAAGACTACATGCTGCATAATTTTCTAAAATTGAATGACCAATCAAATAGAAAAACTCCTGGTATTTTCCAGCAATATAGATACTTCCTTGGACGGTAAGTAACCATCCACTTTCACTGTTTTTCCTGTATGGGTCTAGTCTCTAGTGTAAAGGTCCATCCCTTTGCTTGTTATTTCCTGCTTCCTATTCAATACGTATTACTGCAGAAAAAATGTGGAGTATAAATGTATAATTAGTAAGTACACAGCTTTCTATCTTCGGGAACAAAAAAAAAATGGTAATACCAAAGTACAAGAAAAAATATATTAATAAAAGCAAAGTATTTTGTTCACGTGGACATAGGTTGAATTTATAGGGAAGAAAGAGTCCAGTTTCAGAGGCTTTATCAACTCTGTAATCATGGGTTGTCAAGGATTTCTTAAATGATGCTATTTTGGATATTTTTTCAGTATATGATTAAAATCCAACTTTTTAAGCTAACAAAACAATAAGTGACAGTAATCAGTGGCATTGTGTATGTATTTTGCATTTAAGATTTTATTAATAGACATACAAACCAATTTGGGTTTCCATGCCTTGGAATGACTAGCTAATGGCCATTAAGTGCTAGAATCTTGTGCTGTGCTAAGGTAAAGTGATTTAGCTCATAGCCTCATACGAAGTATAATTTATTGTAATTTTCAGAGCTGGCAAGCAGCGGTTAAGAGAAGCTAGGATCCAAGCTGTGGACTACCTTATTCTGCTTCTAGCTGGAGCTTGCTTGGGAACCCTTGCAAAAGTGAGTGATGAGACATTTGGCGTGGTTGGTTATACATACACTGTTATCGCTGTGTGTAAGTTCACCGATCCCAGACTCTTCTCTTTTATCTGACTAATGTAGGGGAAGAAAAATTTTGATTCAATTTTTTTTGTGGAATGTGATCCAAATTTGTGGACACAATGAAGTCAAAAAGTCTTATCTGATTGTCATTTGGTAGACTAATTCAATAGCTTTTTTTCTCATTCCTTTAAACTAGGCTTTTAACTGGTTGTACTGTGAAAAATGAATCCAAGGTTGTGGACTTAACTAGGCTTTTTTTCTCATTCTTTTTAACATTTTGTATTCGCATGACTTGTCTTGATCTATCCGAGCTTTTTAACTGGCCTCACTTGTACCATGACAAATTTATGTGGTAAATGAATCTAAAATTATCATGTATAAAATAAAATTTAATGGGAAAAGCTGTGTTTATCTCAAAGCTCATTTTAAGTGATGCATCCCTGACATTTTGCAGTGCTGAGTGAAATTCTTAGCTGTTCTTCTTTATCTCAAGCTTATGACTACATAACCATCTTAATCTATCCTGTTGTGTCTTTTTGCTTCTGTTGCTTTGAAGTTTTCCATTTGATTTTATGATTTTGCTTTTCATAAGATAACCTTCCTTCAGTATATAGAATCTAATCACTTTGTACTGCTGTTTTCAGCTCTACTATGTAAAATTGCAGCCCTGAGATCATTTTCTCTAGATAAGTTGCATTATTGGAGGGAGAGCGCTTCTGGCATGAGCAGTCTGGCTTTCTTTCTTGCTAAGGACACTATCGACCATTTCAATACGATTGTCAAGCCTTTGGTTTATTTATCAATGTTTTACTTCTTCAACAACCCTCGATCGTCCGTTCTTGAAAATTATGTTGTTTTGCTTTGTCTCGTGTATTGTGTAACTGGAATAGCATACGTACTTGCTATCTTCTTCGCACCTGGTCAAGCTCAACTGGTGTGTTTTTTCTTACTTTCCTAACCCATATAAAATAAAAGCTATCAATTAAATATTTTAACAATTTATTTAATTTTTTATTGTTGATTTACACTTCCTTGAAACCATTTACATGTTTATCTGTAGATTTTTAGATTAAAATTTTTAATTTGGTGGTTTTTAAAGATCAGTCTGTGCAATTAAGGTGGTTCTCTTCTGTTGCAGTGGTCAGTCCTGCTGCCGGTTGTCTTGACTCTGATTGCAAGTCAAGAAAATGGAAGTGGGTTTCTTAAGAAACTACAAAATTTGTGCTATACAAAGTGGGCCCTGGAGGCATTTGTAATTGCAAATGCGCAGAGGTTCGAGATGCTATTTCTATACACCCCTCTAAATTTCTCTTAATATTTCTAATAAGTTACCATCTACTGTACCCTCTATTCTTTTTCGTCACAATTTCCATAAAGAAGTGTCCTTATATGACAAACTTCCTAGCCTGCCATTATTAATTCAGCATAATTTTATCTGATTGGAATTGTGTGATGATTTTGAAATATCTCAAAGTAACTTGCATACTTCTTCGAGTTTCAGGTATTCTGGAGTTTGGCTGGTAACACGTTGTGGTGCTCTTTATGCAAAAGGTTATGATGTTAATAATTGGGAACTCGCCCTATGTGTCCTCATTGCTACTGGTATAATAAGCAGAATTATTGCGTTCAATTTTATGATACTCCTTCAAAGGAAATAATGCAGTCGATTCCTCATGAAGTCATGATATATACATTTCCCCTGCCCTTGGAAAATGTTTCTGTTTAATCCTTGAAGTTATATCATGATTGATTTTATGCAATAAGAAAGTTTCATGGGAAGGGCGAAAAAAGGATTGGTTTACTGGTGGTAAGTCTGTTTCGACGAGGACACATACAGAAGGAACCAGCAGCACCAAACAAGCTGACTAAAAGATTGAATTATATTTATCAGTTTCTGTTTTGTTGTTCTAACTCCCTAACATATGGAAAGACTACCTAGATTGACAATCATGGTAAAAGAAACATGCGCACACTAATGAATTTAGATATCATGTTTTATCAATGTTATCATAGGATTTGTGTATATATGTGACTATTATGTGTATATGCATCTAATTCTATTGATAAAAATTTCAAATGTTGTACATGCATCTTAATCAGCACTCATTATCATATTTGTAAACTCTATTTCCATCCATTTTGGGAAGAGCAACACTATGATTATAAGTAATCCCTCGGTCCCATGTTTGCAACACAACCAACTTTTTGTGAAAGATTTTTGGGTCAAATGTTGTAAAAAATAAGGGACTAAGGGAGTAATAGCCACCTAATGATCCAATATCATAGACAAAAACTTTTAGTTATTACTACATACTTATTAATTCTTATACTCTAGCTTATTTTGTTAAGATTATGATTTCATTTTGTTAAAAAAAAAAACACCAAGAAAAAAAGATTTTTTTTTTTTTTTTTTTTTTTTTATAATGATATCATTCATTATAAAATGTTGGTCGATTTAAGAGTTGGTTGTTTATTGTTTTTTGAAAAATAATTTATCAGCGAAAGATACATCATTTTTTGAAGAAAAGAGGTGTTTATAAGCCGCAGTAACTAGTTATATCTTGTTTATTTGATAAATGAGTTAAGCTTGAACAAGGATTGAAACTTGTTTAATAAACATGTTTGGTCATGAACTTAAACTCGAAATTTATTTCTATTTTTCAAAATTTCGTTAAAACTCATTAGCTGTCTTAATATTAATTAATCAATTATAGCTTTTTAATTTCACGAGTAATAAAATGAATAATAATTTATACAAAGTATTATTTTTCCAGACAAATAATACGCTAGACTTGAACCTCTTAATTTATACGAGTAATTGTATATTTCTGATTAGTGAATTCTATGTTTATGTATGCATCATTTTTGAGATTTGTAGGTGTCAACTTGTTTATGAGAAAAAGTCGTGTAACGAAAAAAAAAAAAAAGATTTGTTTATAAACTCAACTTGAATACGGAGTATAATAATTGATAAGCTATAAACACAAGAAAAAAAATTTAAATGTAATTTTTTTAAAAAAAGTAAAAGCCTAGGTATAACTGCCAAACTGCAAGTGCAAGCTACGATATGTATGTAAAAAAAGGCATACACCACTCTCTCTATCCATCCATCCATCCATCTTACGCACAATGTCACCCCCACCTACTAATTAGACGGTTAACACTAAATCATGAGAGATGAAGTCTTTTCGAAAGCTCCTCTTCATCTTCTCAATTATCATTACTTCTATCTTATGATTATAAAGAAATTACATTATCATTTCTCAACTACTACATCATTTCCAACTACAACCTTACTTGATATTAATCCTTTTACTCACTTTATACCTAAGCACCCTCATACCCTTCCTCTTTTTTTCCTTGCACGCTCGGATCGAATCCGTCGTAAGTTTCTTGATTCCTCTAGCTAGCGGTGTCTCTAGCATCCGTAGCTGGTTCGACTTGAATACCATGTCTTCCTTGGCCACTCCTACCCGTATGCATTTACTTCCTGTTATACCAGAAAATGGAGTAAGTTTATTTTATGATGATCAAAGTTACGTTGCACTCTTTTTGTGAATTATAAATATATGATCTTTTTCAAGCCTCGTATATAGTTAATCCGGTGTGTATTAAATGAATGTTTGCTTTATGTTTTGCTGTTTAGGTAAAGAAAAATCTTGGCGGACAACGCAAATTACAAGAGTTACAACAAGAGGTTAAATTTTTATATTGGTTGATGCATGTACTCGTGCAATCTTTTAGCATCACATCATCCATTGCATGTAATCGATGCGTTTATAATTATTTTGTGGGCAATAATTAATTCCAAACAAAGGCAATATATATATAATCTCTAATTATAAGAGCATTTCACATTTGTTTTCTTATATTTTTTGCATGGAAAATATACCATTACATTAAATCGTTTACCTTAACTTTTTTATTTTTTATTTTTTTATTTTATTTATTTTTTTAAATCAAATCTATTACTCGTAGATAGATCTTTCTTTTAAGTAAATTATAAAAAAAAAAAAAAAAATAATAATAATAATTACACTTTGAAAACATATATACTTTGCTATTTTTATTAGTATGCCTATCCACACACAATCCAACTTATAAATATTTTGTATTACGAAAAAAACACTCCTATGTTACAGTCCTAGTTATATATTGCCAATGAAAGGGCTTGGTTGTCCAAAATTAGTAGAAAATTCAATTGATGAATTAGTTAAATGTGTTGTATAATCGGATCGTAATTGCTAGCATATTATAGGTGATGGAGCTACATAATTATATTATTTGCCATAGCTATAAAAGCTCGGTTGTCCTATATTAGTAGAAAACTCAATTGATGAACTAGTTTAGAGTAAATATGATGCTTAATGTGTTGCGAACATGTGAGTTATACGATGAGATTGTATGTAATTGCTTGCATATTATAGGTAACGGTGCTCCAAAACTTGTTAAACCACGAGGAGCAAGTTCGTGAGATTTTGCAACAAGTTTATAATCGAAAAGCTGGCATGCCATTGCACATCCCGGATCATCTTCCTCGTAAGGTAACATAATTTTCCACATTACATTTTGGTGTAATTTAGACTCTTAATCCACTAATTGTTGGTGTAAAAAGTAAAATCACCATATAATAGAAAATCAAGCTATAATCAAGTTTTTGGTTCAAAAAGTTACTTCCTCTATTCCATAAATATTGCAATCACGATGAATTTACGCATTTCAAATCATATTTTATATGCTAAATATCTATAGTTATATAAAAGTAAAAATTATAAAAAGTTGATATTGTGAAAGTATTTTACGAAACGAATCTAACAAGACCCCACATGATTATATTTTACTTTACGTATAAATCATAATATGTGGTCAAACAAGCATGATGAAAAGTATAAAAGTCCAATTGCTGCAATATTACTAGAACGGAAAAGTATATGCATATTTGTTATATGTACAACTAGCTTATGACATACCTTTTACCCTTATATTTTCGAAAATTACTACTTCGTATATACTTTTTTTTTTTTTTTTTTACTTGCAACGTCATCAGAGAATTTATGATTTCCTATGCACATTTTATATTATATTGATATCTTTAATTTTACTTTAGCAATAATTATATCTGTTTTCCTAACGCATGAATTACAAAAAATGGTCAAAGAAATTTTTGTGAATAGTGTAAAATTTCAATGTTGAATTTTAAAAAAAAAGTATTTTCGTTTTCAAAAAGATGGATTAATAGTTTTAAAGAAAAAGTTTACACAAAGTCCTAAGTCCAAATCTTCAATGCTTGAATTGCAAGTTTAATACATTATTTGGGGTAGTAGGTTGAAGTAGCACTCATGAGTTGGTGTTGTTTCCTTGTATGAACCAGATGAAAGAGCTTTTATCTGAATTGGTGATGGTTGAGGATGAAATTGTTGGACTTGAAACTCAAATCGAGCATCTTCGAAAAGATGTTAAAGCCGAGCAAGAAGCATCAAAACAAGTAAAACCAAAGCAGCATTCATCGCAGTTGCGAAACAATACAAGTATGGTAAAATACAATCAGCAGCACACGCAACAAAGAGCCAACAACAACAACTATAACAACAACAATGATCAGCGGATTGGTTACGAAACTAGGGCTTTACATTTCATTAGTAAAGCCATTAATGGAAGTTATAGTCTTACTGACTTTACAATCAATGAGAAGGATATTGGAAGCCCGATAGGAGGAGGGAATTTATCCCCATACATTCAGCCAACTTCCAAGCAAAGTGGACTACAAGATCAAAGAGTGACAAAGAGAAGTGGTGTTCAAAAGCCTACTGCTTCGCCCTTGCGAAACTTCAGAGATCCTACTCCTTTTAAGGTAACATATAACTTAAGCACTTGCTTCCTACACGTCTAAGATTATGCAAATTTCTTCTTTGAAATTTATAGGTATGTTAGTTAGTATGTAATGTTTCATGCATGATGAACTAAACGTCTATAATAGAAATGTGATGACCAATTATTTTGGGCCGGAGGTTGTGCCATAATTCAAATACTAGTATGATCTCCCTAGTCCTTATCTATCTAGACTAATTCATAGTGCACAATTGCATACTTTTGGTTCATGATTATATTGGGGTTTGGTTGGTTGGTTGCCTTTTGGTATGTAAGACTAGATGGGTCAATCAATTTTTTTGGGCTTGAAGTCTTATTTGTACTAGTTTTTGATGGGCTATTGAGATTTTCACTTAATTTTTTTTGTTTAGATTTTTAGTTTATGACCGAATTTAAGATTTGCAGACCGGGTCATATTTAGGTTAGGTCAATGTTTCGACATGTCTAAATTCATTCTATAGGCTATAAGGATGTTCTCTAGCTCTCATATCAATATTAGTTCGGCGATACATTGTATGCTTATAATTACACTTGTTGATGCAGCCAAAAGAAAGGAGTGTAGAAGTTCGAGTTGATCCTCCTCAAAAATCAATAGGGTCAACACAGTTGGAAGAGAGTAATGGAACAAAATGGCAACCCAATAAATTGTCTGAAAACATAATGAAATGTTTAATCCTCATTTATGTGAGATTAATTAGAATATCAAGGCAAAGTGAGCTAGACAAATCTGGCCCTATATCAAGATCCATGTACTCTTCATTAAGCTTCAGGACCGAGCCAGGGGTGAACTTGTCAACAAGCCTCATAAAGGAGTCGAAACAACAAGATCCATACGGCATTTTCGATATTGAAGGGGCTATACCAAGGGACATTGGTCCTTACAAGAACTTGGTTGTTTTTTCTTCAAGTTGCTTAGACCCGAAATTTGTCTCTAATTCAAGCTCCATTCCATTGTTCCAAAAGCTCAAGTAAGTCAAAATTAAGTACACTCTATGTCCGAATTTAGTTGTCATGTTGATGGTTTACGTACTTTAACTAGTAATATGACAACTAAATCTAGAGTGAGGTAGTAGGCGTTACTTCGTGAATAAAGCTAAGTGAGTCATAAAATCATCCTTAAAATTCTCGTTTGGGAACAGGGGATTATTCAACAGCCTTCAGAAGGTGGACCTCAAATCCTTGTCAGATCAACAAAAACTTGCATTTTGGATCAACATTTACAACGCTTGCATAATGCATGTAAGCTTTTTCTTAACTACATATGCAAATTTCATAATTTGAATTATCCTTTTTATAAGTCTTCTTTTACTATATAAACAAGGAATATTTTCTAGGAATAATCTAACCTTTGTTCCGACTTTTTACATCAATTCGTCATTAATAATATCTCAATATCTTATAATCATTATTTGAATTTCTTGTATCGACTAATTTGACTTTGGGCTTTTAGCTACGAGTAACGTTTTCAACATTTTTCTACAGGGATTTCTCAAGTTTAGTGTGCCTTCTAGCGCAGAAAAGTTGCTCAATTTATTGAACAAGGTACTAATATTAGAAAGAGAGGAAATTAAACCTTGATTATATTTATCTATATATTACGTGACATTCTCCAAATTAATTTGTTACTATACATTAAAGTGAGTTTATTTTGATTAAATGACAGGCAACATTGAATGTAGGAGGAAAAGTTGTGAATGCACAAGCTATAGAACGTTGTATTCTAAGGAAACCAACACTCATGTCTTCTAAAGATGGAAAGGAAGCCATAATCCACGAACTATACGGTCTCAACACCGTGAATGCTAATGTCATCTTCACCCTATGTTGTGGAACTCGATCTTCTCCCGCTGTAAGTTAATTACTCCATCAAATTCTCTTAACATGACCTTAAACCATCTTAAATATATGGTCTTTAGTTGACTAAATTATAAAGTCAACTTTTTATTGTGACGCATTTCAAACATATATTTAGGACAATCATATTATGCTCTAGGTAAAGTGTTGAGCACACGGACGTGACATGAGGCTAGCGCGTGACATTCACGTGTGTGTCCGCCTAGGGTGCATTATTGAAATCTTCCGTGCCTAAATAGTATGGAATGTGCAGGTAAGGATATACACAGCTGAAGGAGTGACATCGGAGCTAGAGAAATCAAAACAAGAGTACCTACAAGCTTCAATATCGGTGACAAACTCGAAAACGATATGGTTACCGGAGCTACTAATACAAAACATGTATGATTTTGCAACGGACACGGATTCCTTAGTAGAGTGGGTTTGTCATCAGTTGCCTACATCAATTTCACTCAGAAAATCAATTGTGGACTGTTACAAGGGCACCAGCAATAGTGGTAGAGTAATTAATAATGGTATTAATATTGAGAAAATGCCATATGATTTTGACTGTCAATATTTGTTACAAGTATAGTTAACTAAATTTAGCTCAATTATTGGATTTTGTTTTTATCAAATGAAGGGCTTTTAGTATCAATCTATTATTCTCTTTGTTTCTTCTATTCTATTGGGTGTTGAAGCTAATCATAGATTTCTTGTTTACATTTTTTTTTATGGGAATTAGGGGTTTTATGTCTATTGTGCATAATCACATTACGAAAACGTCAATTAAGTAGACAATATAATCAAGAATTGCAGGCAAATTATTTCTAAAATTTGGTATATTCACCCAAGAATAAGGTGTAGTCTATCGCAATATCGCATAAAAAATAAAAAAGTTAAAAATGAGGGGTGTGCGCCAAAATAAGTACAGGCCATCAAGTCCGATCCATATGGGTTGTTCTATCATATTCGATTTAGCATACGAAGTATTAAAAAGACTATTGTGACTTAATACGAAGTATTTATACATACACATGCATAAAAGTGTCTTCTTTCAAGACCATGACTTATCCGTAAAAAAAAAAAATATGAAAAAATAAAAAAAATTAAGACCACGACTTAAATTATCAAAAAGAAGAAAATTTGTTGTTGATGAATGGAGTACGTAATTTCATAGTGTATATCCGTCAAATGTCCTGATGCATGAATTTAAGTAATTGAACTAATTTAGTCAAAATGCCAGAGAAAATTTCCTGCATATTTTTTATAAACAATTGACTCTTCTAAAGGCAAAATAATTACCCCTGTAAAATATTAATAATTGTTAAACCATCTCTTTTCATAAAGGTGTGCTAAATATTCTTTAAAACGGTCAGAACTCAAAAGTAATCCATTAAGAAGATTATATGCAACATGTGTTTATAGTTGTACACCTTGTAGTTAAAAAAGTCAACAACTCAATGTGAGTATATTTCAATTGGAGATTAAGATCAACGCCATCATACCCCAACACTCGATCGAGCAATTATAAGCTTAATCATTGATTACTAAACTTGGCTGTTAAATTAAGAAACATAATTATCCACTAACACATAATAATTCATGTTTTATGGTTTAATCCAAAATACACATGTACCATATGCACTTGTATGGCCAAAATTCTAAATTGCATTAGTATTAGCACTGTCAAAAACCGAACCGAACTGGTGAAACCGAACCGTTTCAACCGATCCGAATGAGAACCGAACCGATTAAAAACCGATTTTATGAAACCGAAAACCGACCCGAACCGCATGTTAGTAAAACCGAAACCGAACCGATCCGAGTAAACGTTAAACCGTTTAAGAACCGAACCAAATCTAAACCGAACCGTTTCTAACCCGAAACCGTTTAAACTGGCATAAAAACCGTTTACACCGAACCGTTAACAAACTGCAACCCGTTTGCACCGAACCGTTTATAAACCGAACTGATTATAAACCAAACCGCTTATAAACCGAACCGTTTATGAACCGAATCGCTTATAATTCGAACCGTTTACAAACCACTTCCTACTAGGAGTATTTTGAACGACTCGATAAAAATCCGATTTTTTTAAATAAAAAACAGACCCGAACCGTAATTTAGTAAACCTAAAATAAAACTGATCCAAATAATGTTAAATCTTAGAAGAACCGAACTCGTTAACAAACCAAACCAGTTATAAATCGAACTAAAATAAAACTGAACTAAAAAAGAACCGAACCGTTTCTAACCGGGAGAAAAACCATTAACAAACCGCAACCCGTCAGCACCGAACCGTTTACTACCCGGACCGTTTACAACCCAAACCGTTTACAACCCGAACCGAATTTAAACCGGGATAAAAACCGTTTACACCGAACCGTTAACAAGCCCAACCCGTTTGCACTGAACCGTTTACTACCCGAACCGAATTTAAACCGTTCAAGAATAAACTGAAACCGAATCGAACCGATAATTATTTAAACCGAACTGAAACCGACCCGTAAGACATTTAAACCGATTTCAAACCGACCCGATTTCAAACCGAACCGAAACCGAACTGTCAAACCGTTTTGACAGTACTAATTAGTATACATGCACTCTTAGCTTAATTAAGGTTGATTTCTTAAATTATTGAGAATATTTCGGCTGCTTTCTTTTAAATTATAGGATCCATATCTTGTATAGAAAGTAGATGAGACATGCTAGATTCATATCCAATTGTCAATTGAAGAATGTAGTGTACACACATAGGGTGATCGATATGAGGAATTGTGAACTCGCATGGGGGTACTAAAAAGAAGATAGAGAAAGATAGAGAGATAATAGGGAGAGAGAACATAAAAGAGAGAAAATCTTGGAGAAAGAGGGAATCACGTGGGAAGAGTATTGTAAAATAATAGTCCGTTTAATACCAAGTACTACGGAGTATTTTTATAAACCTGTATTTAGTATACATATATTTTGTACTATTAAGAACGAAGCTAGAGAGAACAGGACTAAAGTATCATTGTCTACCTTATGATAAATGTTGTATAAAATTAATACGCGTACTTGTTTAGTCTAAATAATAGATCTGATAAATACTAAAATCTAAACGGTAGAATTGATAGTGAATTGTTGGATATTTGGCTTATTACAACAACTTGGGTCTTTTGAAAGGACAGTTTTGGTCTCTTTGATAGTGAATTGTTGGATAATTGGCTTATAATCAACTATTCGTCTATTGGTCTAAACAATTCATATGATATGAATATAGACAACATTCATATGATATGAATATAGACAACATCCAAAATATGGAGATCCCGTGAACACAATTACACAAGTTAATATTTTTGACTTTTGTTATGCGCTCCAGAAAGTCAGCAACGGGTACGATATATTGTACGAGAATCTAAGAAAAATATGCATGCGTTGATCTCTAGTCAACTAACAATGAACTCACTGTACTATATTAAACCGTGTTAATAAAGTTGTTTTATTTTTATTTTAATCGAAAGTTGCCTTGATTTTTAGATGTCAGGCATTATCAAAATTTAAATGGAGGAGCTTATTTGATTGAGCTTCTACCAGTACCAAGGAGTAATGGAAAAAGAAGGTTTATATAAAGAGATAGTGAGTAAAAAAGTATATATATTATTGTTTAGGTTAAAATCTGATTGCCAAACTAGACCAGAAGTTGGACGATAGCTAGACTAATAAATATGCAAATGTTGATACAGGTTTAAGGAACAAAGACAAATGATTAAAAGGAGAAGAACAAAAGGGAAAGGGAGAGAGAGACGACATGATGACGCAGAAAACCCAGGAATAAGGGTAAAAATTGCGGGTGGCGTTGAGTCCACCAATCTACTATTTTTAGAATTAAGTACAAGTACAATGTAGGTTGTAGTTTGATCAAGAATGAATCTATAATTTGGTTGCTAACTGCCAATTGCTATGGAATGTAAAGCTTAGGGTTTGTCTCCTGTTCGTTTACAATGGTTTTCATCCTATTTATAATAGAAAATCCTTTTAAAAGCGCTTCAACGACCTCTTCCTTGATTCCGTGGAATTCAGAGTTAGTTACCAGGTTCAGCTCCGAATAATATGCCATACTCCTCATGCATTATCCGTTGCCTTTTTAACTTGTTCAAACTAACAGCTAGTTGAAGTTTATGGTTCCAATTTTTATGGCACTTCACTTGACTCATTCTAACTTGGATTCTCTTAGAATATTCCTTGGAAAAACCTTTATTTAACTTTCCTTGACTTCTGGTAACAAGGTCATTGACTTTGTAGCAACATGTAACCTGCAATCTAGCAACTTGCAGACATAAGAACCTGTAGCAATAATTTAGGCACGACATTTTTTCCCCCAGCTTGTCTCTTAGATGTACCTGTTACGACTATGAGGCAAGCTTAATCATTTCAAAAAGATAAACTTTGATGTGAGTAACGGAAAGATAAAAATTTTCCCAAGATAAATCTTTAGATTCGAAAAGTTACAACAACTTCTATCCGTTATACTTTAATAAATGTGCATTATATAAGCGTCTAGAGTCCTCTCCTGACTAGAATGAAGGGGTTCATCCAGCTACTGGTGGTGGCGGTGCTTCCACTTAAATAGATCAGCTTGATGTTTAGTTCCCTTTTTGTTTATGCTTCTTGGTATTAAAACGTTGTTCTTAGCTTTTGAACTTGTGTTTTACTTTGCTCATGGAGGCATAGGTTTTCATCCGTTAGTTTTTCTTTTGACTTTGAACACTTGATGCTAGGTTCTTTGGGATAAAATATACTTTGGTTTTACTTTTGTTGTTTTGCGGTTGTGCCTTTGCTTTGAATGTCTTTGGTAGTTGGCGCATTGACCCTTAGTTCATCAGTAGCTTCTGCAGGTTATAGTTGTACCTGCATCTGGCGCTTCGGCCCTTAGTTCACTAGTAACATTGGCAGGTTATGGATGTACCTGCATCATAAGGGTTAGGGGTGGCCGTTAGCAACGCCAACGACCCTCCGATGCTTGAGCCAGTACAGGTTCTGATAGAATAATTAAAAACAAATTGACAAAGTTTGAGATTACTTGGTTGAATCTTCGTCTTTGTTTCCTTAATTGGTCGTACCTAGGGTTCAGGTTATCCCTTTGAATCTGCAAAGACAGTAGGTTAGAGCTGACCATTGGCGTTGCTGCTAACATCCCTCTAATGCTTAAGTTAGTATTTATTCGATGAAGATAAAACTAAATTGAAAAATAATGCACGATTACTTTGGATTTTTTCCTTTTTTTTTTTTTAACATAGGGAATTAACTTAGAAACGGTAAGGTTTCAAGTGTGCTGCATTCCAGCTTCTGGGTACCAACTTGCCTTTTGGTGTGGCCAACCTGTAGGCCCCTTTGTCAATCTGATATGGGCCTTTCTTGGTTGCTCCCAGCTTACCTACGGATACTCCAAACTAGCACTTTAATGGATTCAGCTTCATTTCATACTTCCTCAGCACGAACTTCGACCATTGCCTTGGTCCTGACTTCTTCAAAAGAGGCACAAGGATATGTAGTCAACTCATAATACAATCTGGATTGATAATTGAGACCTCTGTGGAATGCTTCTATGGCGGTTGACTGATCGTAGTTCTTGATGTTGACATCTCTCTATTGAACCTGCCCCAATATTATCTGGTTTTCTCATTCTGCTTCTGGACGACGCGATACAGGTCACTACTCTGCCTCTCCTGCTCCCTACTGGTAGAACTTATTTACCAAGCTGGAGAAGCTGCTGATAGATTTTGGCTTCAGGTTGATTAGCCATTGGAGTGCAGGTCAAGATAGAGTAGCGCTAAAGGACTTACACATGGTGGGCTCAATAAGCTCCCACGGAATTGATTACTGCCACATCCTCTGCATGTATTGGGCCACGTGGTCCTGAGGATCGGTAGTCCCGTCGTACAACTTGGGGAATACTGGAATGTTCATCTTTTTGGGAATCCGAACTCGCTCAATCTCCTCCACGAAGGGAGACTCATTAAATCCGTTAGGTGATTCATAGGCCACAGGTTTCGGTGCGCCAGGTAGCCGGGTCAAGAGCTTCATCATTTTCCGGCTCTGGGCCTCGATTACAGCCACCTTTTTGGCTACGGGGTCAACGTCTTCTTCATTACTCTCCTTCTCAGTTTTTTTTTTATATATTTTCCTCTCTTCATCGGATTCGTCGGATGATTTTAGAGAGAAATGGGGGATGTCATCAGTTTTGACCTTTCTTCTCTTGGCGCTCTTAACAGATTCAAGTTCCTTGTTCAATTTTTCCAAAGTCTCCAGGAGGGACCGGGATTCATTCTGGAGTTTCTGGTTCTGCTCTCGGGTAGCTTTCAACTCATCTCTGGTCCCACGCAATTGCTCAAGGATCTCAGCCATGGTAGGATCTTGGGATGAACCAACCATAGCGAATTAGGATGGAAATAAAAATAGAAACGAGAATAATAAATCGAACGAAATGAATAGGGTAATCTAACTGTGTCCCCACAGACGACACCAATTTGTTTAGGTAAATATCTGATCGTCAGACTAGACCAAGTTCAGTAGGACAACAACTAGACTAATAAATATGCAAATGCTGATACAGGTTCAAGGAACAAAGATAAATGATTAAAAGGAGAAGTACAAAGGGGAAAGGGAGAGAGAGAGAAACGAAATGATGACGCAGAAAACCCCAAGAATAAGGGTTAAAACCGCGGGTGGCGTTGAGTCCACCAATCTACTAATTTGAGAATTAAGTACAAGTACAATGTAGGTTGTAGTTTGATAAGGAATGAATCTGTAATTTGGTTGCTAATTGCTATGGAATGTATAGCTTAGGGTTTGTCTCCTGTTCATTTACAATGGTTTTCATCCTATTTATAATAGAAAATCCTTCTAAAAGCACTTCAACAGCCCCTTCCTTGATTCTGTGGAATCTGGAGTTAGTTACCAAGTTCAGCTCCGAATTTCATGCCATACTTCTCATGCATTATCCGTTGCCTTTTTTACTTGTTCAAACTAACAGCTAGTTGGAGTTTATGGTTCAGATTTTTATGGCACTTCTCTTGACTCATTCAAACTTGAATTCTCTTAGAATATTCCTTGGAAAAACCTTCATTTAACTTCCCTTGACTTCTGGTAACAGGTCATTGACTTTGTAGCAACCTGTAACCTGCAATCTAGCAACCTGCAAACATAGGAACCTATAGCAATAATTAGGCACAACAATTTTTTATTTTATTTTTTTGAAAAAAGTCCAAAAAGACACTATATTTCATTAAATAAAGTCATACAACATCTACAATTGACAATTAACGATAATGAAAACAAATGTAACAAAATCAAACAAGAATTTATTGGGGAAAGGCTAAGTATCCAAATACATAGATATAACATTCGGCACATAGTCGATTCGTTGTCTCATACAATTTTTTGAGTGGATTTATCGTCGCATCAAAATTTTGTGAAAAGAAAATTCTTGTGCCGACTTCATAATCCGAATCCGAGCAATAATCAATCGTAGCCCTGCACTGGAGACCATATTAAACACAAATAAAGCCTTGTCTTTGAAGGATTTTGAAAAATCTTATCTTTCGAAGGAGATCAAAAAAACCTTATCTATCAAAGGAGATTAACTGATGCGGGAGTAATAGTCCAATATGGGTTTCTTGAAAATTCATGGAGATTTTCAAAAGGCTACACTATCTTTTAGTTATTATTAATTATTAGGATTTTTGCCTATGGGTTTTTACCTTTCACTTGAAAGGATTTTTCCTATTTTTAGGCTTTAAGAGTTCTAGTTATTAGGATATTTATTTGTTTAATTTATTTATGGTAGGATAGATTTAATAGTTGGTTACAAATATGAGTAGAAAATTTATCAGGATTAAGATTCTTAATATTCTATCTTATTTTAGGATATGATTATTAATCTCCTATCTTATTTTTGTATGATTTTCACCTTATAAATATGGGTGTATATCAATAATGATTTTAGAATAATAATGAAGAGAGATTTATTATGGGAATCAACCCTTTGAGTGTTGCTCATTTGATTGTTAATCAAAAACATCACTTGTTGCGACTCGTGATCATCTTCTAGTTGCGACTAGGAAGGACCTTCTATTCTTGCGAGAATTAGAGTACTATCCTATTCATTTTCGTGTAATTCCTTAGTTCTTGCTAAAATTCGAAGATCCAATATTATTATAGCTTGCGAGCCTTGTGAGAGTCTTGAGAGATCCACATCATTAACCCTTTCTTTCAAGGAAAACATTATTATAACCTAAAAAACAAAAATATAACTTAAAAGAATCAAAGATTGGGGTTTCTACCGATGAATCCGATGAAACCCCCTTTAAAATTAACAGGGGCTAGAGTTTAGGAGAGAGAAGAGAGGGAGAGGAGGCAAGGGTTTTTTTTTTACTAACTAATTTATTTATTTGTCACTTTCTTAAAGTATATATATTATGAAATAATTTAAATGAAATACGAAATAGCAAATTTTGATTTTACTAGGGTGGTTATCCTGCGCACTCGCACGTCATAGACTCATAGCTAGCCACTTTTGGGAAGTTATTTCGATTTGGCGTTTGGTTATAACTTTAATTGTTAGTAGCATTAATGATGAAAATATTTAAACAAATATTTTTAGGGATATAAATATCCACACACTATTCTTAAGAGTTTTTTTTTGAAACAACTATTCTTAAGAGTTGAAAAAACAATTAACATTAATGAAGGTAAATATGTAAATAAACATTTTAAGAACATAATCGTCTCAACACTATTCATAAAAAATGTGGCTTGCTTTTAAAGGGGTAAATGATTTGGTCTTATTAAAGGGGTAAATGTTGATAGAGTATAAAACATATTTTTGGGCCTCAACCATCAAGTTAATATTTTGGTTGAATTGGTGCTCTAACATGGTATCGGAACCAACGTGACACAAAGGTCACGGGTTCGAATTTCATCCACCCCCTACTTTCAAGTGGACTATTAAGCGCTGGGTATGAGGAGGCCATGCTGCATCCACACTTCAAGCCCAACGAGCTCTCGTGTGAGGTGGCGTGATAAGAGTTTACTCATACTTTTTGAAAGGTAGGGATAAGTTTTTAACAAAAATAAGAAGCATGTAAGCTAAAAAAACAAATCAAAATGGGAGTAGGCACACAGTAAATTATTATTTATTTTTTTTAAAAAAGTGTTACTAATAATATCACAAATTTTCTCGTTAAAATTAAAAAAAAAAAAAAGGTTTGACTTCATTGTTTTACATACTTTGAAGTGATTTAACTAAAGCTCATTCTTCAATTCTCATTCTATAGTTCTACGTATAAAAATTTGAGAAAGTCTTAGTTTATTAGTTTATTACGTTGATAAACAAAATTTTCTTATCAAATGATAAATTTGTAAATAAATTTACAAATTTACCCAGTTAGCATAACATTGTTGTAATTATATCAACATTTGTAGGGTTCGTTTATAATAAAAAGTTGTTACTTTATTTATAATTGTGCCACAAGACCAAGATGATAAACTTGTATTTTCTCTAAAAATTTAAGTATACACTTACAATATAGAAAGCTACTCCCTCCATTTTTAAATATCTGCTCCACTATTCATTTTCGGTCGTTTTTAAATACTTGCTTCATTCCCTTATTTGAAAAGCTTTTACAATATTTAATTCATTTCTCTAAACTAGTGGGCCCAACATAAATCATATTTTATTAATTTCATATACTATCTCTCCTCCAATTCTCTCACCTACTTTTGTTTTTTTTTACAGTTTTTTTATTCTTCCACCAACCTTACTACCTCCATATTTTATTACTTTCTCAAACTTATCCTAAAATTCCGCACATAAAAAAATAGAGCAAATATTTAAAAATGGAGGGAGTATGTAACAAGCCCACAAGTCCACAACCCAAAAACAATGATCAATCTAAATCATTATTTTTATTTTTTAATACTCTGTACATTACAGGTTATTGTACACAAAACTACACAAGATTATCCAATTATAAAATACAAAATCTAAAATGAGAAAACAATCTTTAAAATAAGGTTGACTTATATTAAAGTCAACAATACATGAAGTATACTATACTACCGGGGAGCAAACGACACTGTAAAATCAGTAGGAATTTTCATTTTGTCATACCAAACTTGAGATTCCAAATAAAGCTTAGATATTTTACCCGCCACGCGTCGCATATCTGGCCGTTTATTAGGGTCCTCGTGTAAACATTCAACCGCCAATCGCGTCATTTTACCAGCCACCTCAACCGGGTACGAATCTTTTAGCCGTATATCAATCCATTTCCTTAGCCTCCCTTCCCTCTCAACTCCACCTTCCTCCACCACTGCTCGGCCAGATTCCACCGCCGATAATTTTATGTACTCCTTCGTCGCTTTGTTGTATGTATACTTTACCGGCTCCTCCCCCGACAACAACTCCACCAACACCACCCCGAAAGCATACACATCGGATTTTCGAGTCCCCACACCCGTCAATTGGAACTCTGGCGACATGTACCTGTATAAAATCGGCCGTTAATATTATTACTCCCTCCGTCTCTAATTTTTTGCCCCGTTACAAATATTTGGGTCAAACTTTTAAAACTTTGACCATTAATTGTCATTAATCTATAATAGTTAATGTAGTCATGTGTGATCTTATTGCGTTCATTTTATTATGTATTTTATTAATATCAAACTTTTATAATTTTTACGTGAATGGAATAAGATATATATGCATTGTAAGGTGCGTCTTGAAGACCGAAAAAGTCAAATGGAACAAAAATAAAAGCACAAATAAAGTATCAGACTAGATGGACTAACTAGATCATCCTTACACATAAAATACTCATATTGTTATTGAAATTTGTAGTTTGTCTTTTTAATTAGATTAAAATAAAATAGAGCCGTCTTTTTACTCTATTTTTAATCACAATAACATCACATTCAAGATTCAACTTATGTTTGGCATTCCATACTTCAATTTGATGCAAAAATGCAGCGTGTGAGAATTGATAACTAGGAAGTGGGAACCACGATTAAGACGAGCTAAATTAAATTTTGACCAATATTTTCAGGATATAAAAGGATAACACGAAATTAATTATGGAGTACTTTATATTAATCGACTATCTTACTTCTAAATTCTACTTTCTACCTAATTTTTCTGTCTAACTCCTAATTTCCCTCAAAATGTAAAGTCTAACAACAATTAACTTCTTCTATAATAAAACAAAGACGGACCTATCATGGATTTAATGTTGTGTCCAAAATCAAACAACATTATTCCGTACAACTTTGTAAATGGATGGAAATTAAAATTTCACACCCTCCTTCATCTAGATTAGTCGTCATGTCTAACTTCAAACAACTTATTATTAATGTGACGACTAATTCTTAAGCGTGGATGTCAAAATTAAAATTTCACACCCTCCTTCATCTAGATTAGTCGTCATGTCTAACTTCAAACAACTTATTATTAATGTGACGACTAATTCTTAAGCGTGGATGTCAAACAACATTACTCGTATTATTAACTTATTATTAACGTGACGATTAATTTCGAACAGAGGAAATCAAAATTCATTAACTTATTATTAACATGACGACTAATTCTAATAGAGACAGTACAACTAATTTTAAACAGAGGAAGTACGACTAAATTAAAAGTTTCATACCCTGTAGTCCCGTTGAACTTGATACTGTTAGATCGGTTCAATTTCTTCGGTGAAGAAGACGTACTTTCCTCCTCATCAAGAATCTCCTCAACCTTATAACTAACACCCAAATCATCCAATTCCTTCTCCTCCGTCGGCTCGCCGCAAAGCTCAGCAGTCCCAAAATGGCAAAGCTTCGCATTAAACGACGGCTCAGTAACAATAACACTGCTCGATTTAATATGATTATGAACAGATTTCACATCTAACCCAGTATTATTATTATGAATGTAATCAATCCCATTTGCTAAATCAGACGCAATCTGCATCCTCGACATCCACGAATCAAGAACAGTAAACCCCGGATTACTCTTATTATGCAACAAATCAGACAAATTCGCACCCTCAATGAAATCGTAAACCAAATAAACATAATTCCCAGAAATCGATGCTCCAACTAGATTAACAATAGCAATATGATGCGACCTACAAATGGAAGACAACTTTTGTCGAACACTTGGTGGGCGTAAATCATGACTATGATTCACCTTCCTCTGAAAAATCAACACGTCTTTTCCGAGCAAATGACACCGCCAACACCGGGAAGCAGAGTAAGTTTTAGCGAGGAAGTTGTTGGTGGCGGAGCGAATCTCGGAGATGTCGTAGAGGTGGGGGTTTTCAGGTAGCGAGTTGCGGAGGCTGGATAGAGAATGGCGGCTAGAGTGGGAGGTTGAAGAAGAGGTGAAATTGGAAGTGGGTTTGTTTAAGGTGGTTGATTGGTCGGAAGATGCGGCGGAGGAAATCGGTGTTGGGGTTGATTTTCCGGAGTTTGACGGTGGTTTACGGTGGTTGTTGCGGTGGCGGGGAGATGAGTGTTTTGGATGTGGTGATGTGGGGGGTATGGCGTCTACTGCCATTTTTCTTCTGCACATAATATTTCGGATTGTTGTGAATTTTTTGAAGACGTTTTTTTAATACAAGTATGAGAAATTTTAGGTTTTCATTTTCTTTGATTTGAATTGAATTTTCATTATTTTTTTATTTTTTTTTTTGAGTAATTTATTGATTTGGGTTGGTTGTGCTGTTGTGAAGTTGTATCAAAAAATAAAATAAAATGATTGCATGAAATTATTGTTGAGGAAAAAGTGGGGGTCAAAATCAATTTAGAATTAGAAAGGAAATTAAATTATAGGGGAAAAATGGTGGGAAGAAAGACAAGAAAACAGAAGACTGTATAAATTATAAGAAGAAAAAGTGGCAATAAGTCAAACCCGATGTTTATTTTAGTTTTTTAATGATTAAAAAGGAAAGTGGACCTTGCCTACTTATGGAGGCGGCACACCACCGATTTTTTTATAAATTTTGTATAGCTATATTCATTAGTGTTTATACTTGTGGTTGTGTCATTGTGATTTGATCGTGATTTTGTGAATATGTAATTATAGGAACACTAGATTGCAGTATTAAAAAAAAAATGAAGAAATAAATCGTTATAGATTTATAATGAGTTTAAAATTGAAAAGTGTTTATATTTATGAAATTAATAAAGTACTTTTAAAGATGTGAAAAATATTAATATTAAATCATCTTATATGATTTATTTATACTTCATATTATTTATAATTTTTTTTTTGGGTGCATACAGGGGGCAAAGCCCCGAGAAAGGAAAACTAAATAAAAAGCAATGAACGAGGAACAAAACGAGGTAAAGCTACGCCTACTACATTATGATGTAAAATGCGGTCTAAAGTCAGGGGGGACTTGAACAAGTTCAATCCGGTTGCTATGGGAAACGCCTTGATTCTCAAGCTAATCCGCAGCTCTATTTGCTTCTCTATACACATGTATGATCTCCACTTGCCATTCACCATCTCCAATCATCTGTTTGCAGTGAGATATCAAATGAACACACTCTCCTATGTTCTCTTCACCCTCCCTTTTTAAGGCTAGCACAACCGCTTTAATATGTTGTCAAGTTGGATTTGCAGCCTAGGAACTCTCATCTCTTCGCTAGATCAATACCATATTCAACTGCCTTTACTTCAGCCTTGAAAGCATTACAAGCCCCAAAATTCAGAGAGTATGCATACCTTATTTTACCTTCACAGTTGCAAATTAGACCACCCCTACCTGTTGGACCTAGCTGCCCTTTAGCAGCCTCATTTGGGTTCAGCATGTGCCATCCACAGGGAAGGGCAGGCTACCTGACATGCACCTCTCTTCTCCTATTCTGCCCTTGCAAAGGTTCTTGACCTGACTGAAGATCATCAGTACCAAACTTCCTCAAAACGTTCAAGCAAAAACTTCCTTACATCAACTGGAATCTCATGAGATTTATTAAACGCAACACAACTTTTGTGCAAAATATGTAGGTCAAATGTCAAGTAAAGAGTTCTTTTGTGCCTGAAATTTGATATTTCTTACTACCCATTGCTGAGCAGCTCCTGAGAAAAAATTGCTTAAGTTAGCTGGCCCTCCCACTTGCCTCCAAACCTCGCGAGCTGCTCTACAATCCCTTAGGATATGAAGCACTGATTCTTCTGAATTATGGCACAAGTTACATTTTAGGTCATTCACCAAATTTCTCTTGAATTGGTTCACATTGCACATAATGCTTTCATGCATTACGAGCCAAATAAAGACCTTCACACGCTGTTGAACTCGCAAACTCCATACCAAGTCCCAACTGCCATCATCAATGCTCTGATCATCTTTTCGAATAATATTGAGAGCAGATTTGATACTACTTGCCTTTTGATGCACCAACCCAATAAAGGAGATCACCTACTGTTGCATCAGGGTGTAGTTCATGAGCCTTGATTTCTTTAATGGCTGGTTGAGGAAGGAAGTTTGCAAAGACATCCCACCTCCAGGATTGCGTTTCACTATCCCACATTTCTTCAACCGTGGCCCCCTCAATATTCGCAGGAACATCTTGAATTGCTAACTCTCTCAAAGGTCTTGAAGTGGCCCATTTATGATCCTAGAAGAGAGTAGTGTCACCTTTGCTCACTGCCACTCTTGCCCCTTCATAAAGAATACTCGCATTCTTCGTAATTCCCTGTCATACATTCGACATATTTGATTTAGGTTCAAACATGTCAATGTCACATCGACCTCTACAATATTTATTCCGTAAAACCCTTGACCAAATTGCATTCGGCTCAGTCAAAATCCTCCAACCAAGGTTAGTTAAAAACGCGACATTGGCTTGTCTTGAAGATCGAATCCTTAAGCCCCCTAATTCCTTCAGTTTCTGAAGGCACTCCCAAGATAAAAGATGGACCCTCTGTTTTTCTTCATCACCACCCCAAATAAAATGCCGAGTTCGCTTATCTATGTCATCACAAATGGTTCGGGGAATCTTCGTCGTTTGCATTGCATACGAAGCCATGGTTGAGATAGTGGACTTTGCAAGAGTAATTCCACCAAGGATAGATATTTTGTTTTCCAACCCGACAATCGTCGATCAATCTTTTCACACAAAATAGCCAAAGGTTTCCCTGGTTACCCTACTAGTTACTGTAGGCATGCCTAAGCAGGTGCCTAAATCAGCAGTTGGAGAGATCCCTAGGGTTGCGCTAATGTCATGTTTGATATTTTGGTTCACGTTCTAGGAAAAGTAGACTGTGGACTTGCCATAGCTAATATGCTGCCCCAAAGCATCACAGAAACGCTTCAAACAAGACTGAATAACATGAGCTTGAGTAGAGCTTGCTTCCGCAAAGAGAATAATGTTGGAACTTAAGAGTTTAATGCTAAGGAAAATGGTTGTTTTTACTTTGGACGAAAACCCTTTGTCCCACATTGGTGGGATAAAGGAGATTTGCTTTGTTTAAATATGAGTGTTTGTATAATGATGTTTGAAGTGCTTTCCTTATTGGTGTGGGCGAGAAAGGGGCATCCCCCTCGGCTTGTGATTGTGACACGTGTGCCTTTTTTTTAGGCCAAGTCGTAACTGACGTTTCAGCATTTATGAGATCGTTCAGTTACGAAGCCCACAACGATCAAAACACATTAAGGGAGACAAAACCATTATTTACGTTGCCATGATTTTTGCCCTGATTTTCTCTAACAATCAAACACATTCATGGCTGCCTTCAAACGGCTATGTTATGTTCTTGTCTATAAATACCGTCCTCTTCATCGGTTTTTTTATCACAGAAAAACTATTGCTTCTTTGTCTTTCCTCCAAAATATTCTGAGCATAATTGTGAGTTCCAAATCTCTCTTTTTGAGTGCACATTAAGGGAGATCGCTGTGTAAAATCTTGGGGGGCAACGCCATCTCCGATTGCACCATAGTCGGGGCGAATTTTGCTTCTAAGACAGTGTTCCTAACACGTCACAGCGTTTGTTACATTAAATATTCGGCCCACATTTTTATTTTATTTTCTGATTTTACAGTTTCTCATCTTACAAATAATATCATCCACAAAGCATATATATCCTAGGCCCATCTTTGCTAGCTTTAATCGACTTCCAATGATTCTCAATTATCGGTTCTTTAACTATTTGATTCAATTTTTTCATGCATAGAACAAAATATAAGGTGACAACGAATCACCTTGACAGATTCCTCTACTGGGAGAAAAAGAAGCAGTAGGTCCTCCATTCCAATTAACTCTCATCGACAATGATGTCACACATTCCATTATTACATCAACAAGAAGGCATGTCAATCTAATTTCAAGGAGCGTGTCACGGATAAATTCCCATCTCAATCTATCATAGGCTTTCTCAAAATCAATTTTTATTACCATAAAACGATGCTTTCCTTGCTTTGTCTTCATGGTGTGGATAACTTCTTGCACAATTACAATATTATCCATAATTTGCTTTCTCGGAATGAAACTAGTTTGGGTACAAGAGGTTAGGTGAAGCATAAGAGGCTTAATTTGGTTCACTATAGCTTTTGTAATAGTTTTATAAACCACATTACATAAGCTAATTGGCCGGAATTGAGAGGCTAACTTCAGATTATCCACCTTTGGTATAAGAACAATAAAAGTGTCATTCAAAGAAGCTGGCAATCCCTTTCCTGCAAGCGCATCCAGTACTACCTTATACACATTCCCTTTAACAATTTCCTGATTTTTCAGGAAAAAAATAATACCTGGAAACCGTCTGGACCTGAGGCTTTCAGAGCACCCACCTCATTTATAACTTTATCAATATCACACTTTGCAAAGGGTCTCGATATTCTTTCCCAATCTCTTGCTGTGAATTCAAGAAAAAATATCACTAGAAAGGCTGACATCCACATGCTCCTCACAATCTGTAAAAAGATTATAAAATACTCCATTATATGGTATTGCACATTGTAGGGAATTTTTCAAACTCAACCTTTTGAGCCCTACTGTGTTCATGCTTTTAGGCATGGCGGCGATCCTAGGGAAGGAAGCTAGAAATAGAAGAGTCGCCAACAAGTTTTAGGAACTTGTAAACCATTCACAGGTGCAAAAGTTACACCCCATTTACGATCACGGAGATCGTTAACTCCATACTGGTTCAGAACCATGACTGGATATTCGGGGATGATGGTACGAATCCAACCTAAAAGAGATTGAACCCGCCCTAAATTGACCTCTACTTAATTCTTATGATATTCATGTGCGCTTTCTGATCAACATACATACATCAAGTTAGCCCTAAACCTATTTAATCTATGTTGGTTGATTATTAATGCACAATCAAATATATTATTGTGATCACTTGGATTAAAATCATATTAAGCCTAAAATCAAATTATCAATTATCTTATTAGGCATGATTCCAAGTACAAATTCCTTTTAAACATGCAAGAAAGGGTGTGATCAATCAATAACAGTCAGTCATGAATAATCAAGCAACATATGATTAATTGACACAACAACCATCATCATAATCAAAATATCATCAAAACATCGACAATAGCAAGATCCTAGGCATGATATCAAACGGATTAATAACAAATCCTAGCATGTCACTAATAAAAATCAAAATCAAAGCATTAACCTAAATATGATACTAGAAATCATAAAAATCATCTTAAACATGATACTAGAAATCATAAAGACATCCTAACATGATACTAGGAATTATTATAATATTCTAAACATGATTTTTACCCCAAAATCAAAAAATAAAGATAGTAGATCTACTCACTTTGATGCCTCGGCTTTCTTGGTATTGAAACAACAAACACGTTAGTAACTTCAAGAAAGATTAAATCAACAAAGTAAATAAATCAATTATGAATTGAAATAGATATTTGGGACCAAACCCTCATAACTATCAACCTTTCACGCCGAGGTCGAAGGCAACGTCGAGGATGGT